TTTGTAAATTATACCTTTGTTACAAGTGCAGTCTCATAATCGTTTTAATGGCCTACTTATCTACTTTTGCGATGTTGTCACACGTAAAACACGATCTTTTTAAGAAGCGCAAATGTCATGCAGAGTATGCAACATACATACACCATCCCAAGACCACAGGTGTTTCAAGTTGAAAAAGTACTTAAACTTAATTACAAACTTCAAAACATGACATTTCAAAAAATGACATTGGCACAAAATTTTAAATATGAAATCGATGCATTTTATTATTCGTGTAATCTTTCATTCGAATAAAAAATAGTGTTCGATACGAGGGCGAAAATTTGTTTTTCGAACTCCTGACGGATTGACACCCTCGACTTGTAAAAAAACGACATTTTTCGCCCTTGTATCGAAAACTACTATTAAAGTGCTAATACTTCATAAAATAAATAAAACACTTTATGAAGCACATTGATACGACCCAGAAAGTTTTCAAATAATTTATTGTTTTCTATTATTCCTACTATTACGATTACAGAAATGGCAGCAGTTTACATCTAGTTACACGTCTAGCTATAAATATAAGAAAATATACACACAAGGCGACACAAGACTACCTTGTATGGTTCATCTCAAAAATAGTGCACCATCGTTTCAGTTACAAATCTTACAAACTATCGAAAGGTAACTTGGACACTTCGTCCAGCTTATTCTAAGGCATTTGCTTAAATGTGTGGTGAAATGTAAAGTTATACCTGGGGTTTGCGGTTTTATTTGCTCACATTGTGTTGGATGAGTCTTTGGCACGCAATAGATCCAATGTACTGATCCATTTTTTGCAAATTTGCACGTTTTTGCCGTAAAATGCTGCTGAATGTTGAAAGAGTTCAAGAGCTTAGAATCGGAGACAGGAAAAAATTCAAAGTGCAAAAAGCAGCAGTGAAAGTCTGGAATAGTATTGTAGGTGATCCTATAATAGCCTAAATTTTACTCATTGAAAACATTGGATTTATAGACGCATTTTACATCCCCTACCACATAAAATTGTAATATGACGAGTGGAGAATCATTTAGTGGGCTAAATTTATCACATTAATGACGAATTGGTGCGAAACGACGCAAGAAGTCCGTTCCGAAAATATCTTTGTCAAAATCTAGTAAAATTTGCATTCATTCGCAATGTACATACTTCCTAATACATAATCGACTATCTAGTGGAAGTTCCTCGTGTTAAGGGTTACACCTGCAAACGCAACAGGACGGGAATAGGAACCAATCCATGAAAATGCCCCTGCAGTCGTTGTCTGGATCATAAGCCAGAAGACGATGCCATTTGTATTTTTGCTCGCAGCCACAATCGCCGGCACATCGTTTGGTGCTGGTTTTTCTGCAAAAAAAATCGTACCAAATACTACGTTTTTTCGATGTTTTCATAGCACTTACGCGCAAACTTCTTGATGAATGGCTTGCTCGAAATGCTGCGTGTTCACGATGGCGCGGACTTTTCCTGCTGAGTTCGACGCCCAGTAGGGAGTCACAATTTCCAGTTTACTCTCACAAGCATCGACTCTGAAAGGAAGACCAAAAAAAATTCGTTGAAGCAAAATTCAATTCTAATGCTTACCTTCCACTCTCGTTGCTTTTGTTGTTATTGAAATTCATGTTCTTGAAGTTTTGTCGGGCCGTGCGACGATGGTGCTTTTCGGAATGTTCGGGTGGTTCCGGACCAGGATCAAAGTGCAAATCTGGAACCCCCGGTTTTACCGATCTCTTCTGCTTGGTCCCGCCACTGTATGAGCCATCATCTTCAAATTCCGGCATAATAAACTCGCCATACATGCGCTTCATCAGAGCCTTGTTTTCGTCTATGAACAGCTCTATTCTGTCTCTAGAACAACATAAAATTGCGTTGTTGAATTCGATATAATTTAATTAAATAAAGTACTTACAATGGATACGAATTTCCGGCTGTAGGGCAAAAGAGTTGTTGGTGTCGCTTTATGCACGGAACTCCCCGAATGTACTCCCCTCTTAATTCTAGACCTAGAGCTACTGATAGGGCTGTCCATAATATCTGCAAAAAATGTAGTTTAAGAAAGCGTCAAAAAATATGTTGATTCTGTCTTCTATAGCTTGAGGCAGGTTCATTTTATGCAAGATCTTTTCTTATTTTGCAATTTTTGGCCATAGTTTTCAGTAGAGTGTCGGTGGCTATAATTTTCAGTTTTTAAAACGTCGTGGTCAAACATCAGCACGTTTTCTATTAGAGCAACTCTGGTCGCAATTTTCGAAAATTTATGGTCTGGTATAAGTTAATGAAGGGTAAACCCTTAAAAAAATGTCCAGAATTGCCTCAAATATCGCGTGCGAATACATCGTAAAAAATGTAAATTGAGATCTTTGTGTTAGTTGGTTTTCCTTTCAGTCGGTTTGAGTTAGTTTGGTTTAATTTCGGTCACAAGCATTCATTTAAAAATAATTCTCTGTTGATATTGATCTGATAAAAACAGATGGCCGTTGAAAAGTAATTTCGCTTCGCAAGAATTGCATTAGCCGAGTTTTCTGACACCAGTTTTTAAAGAACATATTTATTAAAAATTGAAGGCAAATTGGGCTTTTCGTCCAATTTAAGCCTGAAGAATTGATGGCGTTTTTTTCGCGTCTTTTGAGACTCTATATAAGGTGTTTACTGAGTGATCACAAAAATTTCGAGGGCGTATTCCTGAGCCGATTTTCTGCGAAAAAGTTATTTTGACCATGGAGTCAAAAATGCTTTGCTTCCGATCTGCAGGTTGTTAAAGTGACTTTTATTTTCCATATTCCAAAGCATTAGTTAAGTTTTAGTTTAGCATAGTTTAAGTTTTAAAATTATTTTGTTATTGCTACCGTATAAAGACACACTTTTTATGCGCTCTTCATCATAATTTTATCAAAAGGACTGCCTAAGAACAATCGCAATTCGTGATTTTTTCCACACATTTTTATGTTAAGAATTACACAATTTCAGGAGCGTTTCTTAATTTTATAAAGACGCACCAAGAACCAATGATTCCGCTTTTTTAAGCCGCTAAAAACTTTTATTCTCCAACCTTCATTTCCAAATTGAACTTGAACTTTTTGCAGCCAAAACCCGTCAATTTTATAATATATGAACTTCAAGTTAGTTTTGAAAATGCAACTGTAACTATTTGGACTAATTGAGGATTTAAAAAATCCTTTCCATGTCCTCAGTTAGCATTTGTTAGTTCCATATCAAGACATAAATTATGAAATAAAATTCTTCACCTACACGGTTACACCTCTTGAAAGGCAATAATTATTGTCTTCAGTCGGTCATAGATAATGTTACATAGATAAGGCAAAGTGGACAACAATTCTTATTGCCACTGTTTCCACTTATGTAAGCTAATTATCGCATTAAAGGGGTGGCTAAACAACGCAGCCATGTATGTGGAAATAGTCCATATTTTTCGCCAATTGAATAAGGAACTATAAAGGAATTGGAAAAATCATACACGCTAATACTTCATGTCTATTAATAAAATTCTAGACAATTAATCACTTATACAGCCTAACTTGTATTTAGTTGCCAGTTCTTGGGTCATTTCTCATTAACACTGGTGTTACGCAAGTAGGATACAGTTATTACTATAAAATCATCGAGTGAGTAATTCGACTTTTTAAAATAAATATATTTATGTCATAATTTATCATGTGACTCAAATGGATAGCTGGAAAATTTCCTGAATGCCTCTGGTCTGAAAATCACCCTAAAATTATCCTTTGAAAATGATTGGCGCAGATACAGGCAAAACTTTGCAGGCAAATTTTATTCCAGCCAGTTTTTAATAAATATTCAGGTTTTCAAAAGAGTGTTTCAGGCCTTTAGATTCGGAATCAAATTTTTAACGTCGGTTTAAAAGCCCAAGTTTTGATTCCTTGTAAAAACTTTAATTTGCATCTAACGCTATACTAAATGCTTTAATTGTCTTGTACTGAAACAGGCCTTGGGTGTAAAATCAACTTTGGACAAAATAGTTTGCTGCAGACTTAGTAGACAAATTGCAAAATAGTAGACTGTGTTTTTCGTCTACCCAATTCGCACGAATAAGAAACTTATCAATAAAGCCGACTTAATTTGAATATGAAAAAAAGCCGTCTGTATAAACAGTAAAACGTATTGATATAAGTCAATCGGTGGGGTTTTTAAGCTAGTTTTTTTGCAATCGACGAAGAAAAACTAATTTGCTTAGCAAGTCAAATAGGAAGCGAGTTATTTCAATATGAAACCAGCAGTTCAAGTGTGTGTGTGTGTGTAGTGGAACCTACAAATTCATTTAAAATCAAACAATTTAAATAACCAGGAATATTTGCATTATATGTAAATGGAAAACGTGTTCCGTGAATGAATGTTTATTCACAGCTATTTTGTAGCCAGTTTGACTTGCATAAGTTCCGAAAATCAACACTAATAAACGCGAATCTGCATTACCAAGTGGAAATTGTCGTATTATCGTACTCGATCATACTCGATGCTATGTTGAAGCAAATGTAGAGAAGTGTGTGGAACAAGCCAGACAAAAACACTTTATAGTGGCGCAAAAAATGAAAACTCCAGTCGAAATGGAAATAAAGTCGTGGAAAAACGCCTATCAAAAAATGCAAAGCAAAATTAAGTATATAAAAATAATTTGCAAGGCAAGGAAATATTGTTGGATAGAGTTAGGCAATAGACATAAGGCGCAAAGATATTAGAAACTATTAGGCATAATTAAATTAGGGCGCATTGAAAAAAAACCGAAAAACTCACGAGTTTCAAGCAACATTGTTTAAAAACGAATTCAAATTGACATATTAGATGACGCGACATGCAAAATCAAGAGCGGCAAATCACCAGAAATGGTAAAAAAAATGAAGGAACAAAAGTGAAATTATTTGTGGGAACAGGGAAAAATCCGCCACAACTAGATTGACTAGTTCTTTAAAAACCCTCGCGTTAAGAATGTTCTTGAAAAAAGCGAAAACAACTATAAATGCATATCGCTGATAAATAGAACAATGAAAATGTATGAAAACCAATCGCAGAAGGAGCTAAGAGGAAAAATGAAGCAAACTTTAAACTAGAACAGCTGCAGAGCAGGAAGAAAAAATACAACAACTTTTAGAAAAAGCGTTCGAGAAAAAACTGGAATTTGGAACGAAAGAAACATTTATAAAAATAAAAAGATCAAAGATTTAAAAAAACTGGGAGAGAGGCGGAGGTAATGCAAAGGAGCGGAGGAAACATACAAGTAGCTTCAAAACCATAACAGTAGAAGGCGTGCATAGAGAACATATTTAAATAAAATAAAGAGAGCATAGAAAACAAGATTGCATAGAATGGATCTAATAATTCTCGCTCAAGAGCACTACATTAATAATAGTGTCAACAGATATACCTATAAGTAAAACGGCCAGGCAGATATAAATTGATTTATGCGGCAATTATAGAAACACCGATTTCGGATTTTTCAGCAATAAACTAGATATTCAAATTAATCTGACTCGAGTTAAATAAATCTATATCGTACCCAAATACATAATATCAATGTCGATGCCGAGATAAGGATACATTTAAGATTGGAAACTGCCAATATTTAATATCTATTTAACCATTTACGGACTGAGGCAGTTTATCTATGAAGTATCAACTGGCCAGTGGTTAACAGGGTGTGGCACAGTGTCACAATAAACGATGCTTGGATGAACTTGGCGCTGTTTATTATTATTTCATTTATTGCAAATTATTTGTCACAAGACAGAAAAACGATCGATAATATTTGGATAAGAGAAGAAAAAAATTAATCAGCTAAACAAAATGCGACCATTCACCAAGCTTGCTCATTTCCGGTTTTAAAAAACCTCAATTTAAAAAAATTAATAGAAACGACTGTCATGCACTTGAGCTAATTGAAAATGAATTATTCAGAAGCAGGCAATCAAACTGCATTTACACGGTGGGCCAACAAAAATGAAAATATTCCAGCTGAGTGTTGTGAATGCCATTGAAAAATCGCATTTGTACGAATCGAAAGCTCAATTAGCCGTTTGGCAGCTTAGAAGCTCCTCAATATGCATATTTGAGCGTATATATGTTGAGGCATTTTAAGGAACTTTTCATCCGAAAATCACCTTTTTCACATATTTGATTTTGAGCTCAATTCATAGCCTCCCAGCTAAACAGCTGCTCAATGCATGCAAAGAAGCTTCACTCTAAAATAAGGAACATCGTCGGTTACATACCGTAACACCCCTTATAAAGGGTAGGAACAATTTTAGATCTGAAGCATCTAGCAATTTTTCCAATGAGCTCCTTGCATTTTTCGTTGAATTTGCGACATTTTGAAATATTTGTTCGATGAAAACTCAACCTAAGACTAAACGGTTTCACCTGCACAACTCCTAATAAATTGGATATTATGAACCCTAAACTTAGAATGTTTTGATTGGTTTTCTCTGGCCCACCCTGTATAGCGACATGAAAATTAACTAGCCATAAAATCAGAGCATGTACGAGCTGGTTTCAATGCCAGGCCATTACAGATTTTTCTCGTTTTAAGGTCTATCTATACGAAACATTGCACGCTTAAATTGCATTTGGTTTTTCGATGGTCAAATTAAGCGCCATTTGTTATGGGAAGAAGTGTTTGACCTTAACTGTTTTACAATAGGAGAACCGTAAAATTTAAATTATCGTATTCTAACGGGTTTTATGGTAATTTCAATACGCGAATTTACAATGGCTGATTTCTGATGCGTGATTTATGTGCTGCATCTTACCGAATTTAGGCGAAAAACTAGGATTCTTTCTGGTCTCCATCATCAAACTATTGTGGATTTTTGGGAAAAGCCCAAATTTATTGATTTTTGCCGCAAATTGTTACAGCCAATGTTGACTTGCGACACGTAATTTCCATCATACATACTCAAAAGAGGTCTTTTATCAAAAGCGCACAAGTCCTAAATAAAATTCAACACCAAAGTAAGATACAAAAGCATGTTTTCAACTTACCAGAGGAAATTTATAGTTGCACC